CAGCGGCCGCAGCTGCAGCCGCAGCACTCGGAGGAGACTTGAGCAAGCCGTGAGAGGGTCGGATAGAGCTGACGGCCGACAGCCCCGCGGAGCCGGGCAGAGAGGCACTGGAGACGGCGGCAGGGGGCAAGATGGGGTGGTGCACGGCGTGGGAAGCTGGGTGGCTCGGCAGAGGTGCAGCGTGGCTGACCAGGCCCCCCGAGCAGGCGGCGGCAGCAGGGTGAAAGCCGGTGGCGTGGTGGCCGCCATAGATCTCGCTGAGGAGGCGCTTCATCTCCTCCAGGGAGTTGGTGAGCATCAGGATGTAGTTGCGCGCCAGCAGGAGGGTGGCGATCTTGGAGAGCTTGCGCACCGACGGGCCGTGCGCGTAGGGCATCACCTCCCGCAGCCCGTCCATGGCGATGTTGAGGTCGTGCATCCGTTTGCGCTCCCGGCTGTTGATCTTCAGGCGCAGCTGCTGTAGCTCCGGCTCCGTCATTTGCTTCTTGTCCTTCTTGGAGGTCGAGGACGACGATGACGACGAGGACGACGACGAGGGCGACTTGAAGGCCAGCTTGTCCACCACGACCACCCCGGCGGCGCTCATGGCGCTGCGCAGTTCCGCGCTCAGCTCCGCGGGGGAATCGTTGGGCGTCGAGCTGGACACGGCGCCGCCCGCCGAGAAGCCCCCGCCGCTCTTGCTCCTCGCCGACACGAAGAGGTCATCGGGCTCCGGAGACGAAGGGCGGCTCGACACCAGGCTCGCGCCCCAGTCCATGCTGGCCCCCCGCCCCAGCCGCCTGCGAAGGAAAGAGAGGCAAGCGGCGTCAGGCAACGGAGCGGCCCAGCCGGCTGGCAGCAACGCTTCCAACCCACCGCGGCCGGGGCTTTCCGCCGAGGGCCGTGCGTCGGCGAAGCCCGGAGCCAAAGCGCAAAGAGGCCAGCCCAAACTCGCGCGCGCGCGCCGGAAAAAGTTTGGCGCCGGTGCTGAAAAACTACAGCCCGTCTGGTTCATTCCAGTCGGGGTTAACTCCAACCAAGAACGACGGAGAGCTAAATCCCGGGGACTTCAAGGGGATTTAGAGGTCATATTTGTTAATTCAGTTGGCTTGTGGCCAATATGTTGGTGAAGGCAGTTCTTTTTTTTAAATCACCATTCTTTACTTGTAAGCCCCGACGAACGACCTATTCTTGTACTCTACTCTCAGATCTATGGATTTAAATCCTTACCCATAAATATCCACAAAAATATCCTACCCCCCCCCCCCCATTTCCAGCATTATGGAGAAACCTAATTAAAATAATTAAGAGTAGGAAGCCACGCCCTCATCGTGACTGCTGCTGCAGTTTAATCGATGGTTTTAGAAACTGCTCAACTGCTTTGAGGATCACACGACAGCTTCCTATCCCAAACCTCAGTGCACTCTCTTGTTTCTCCCTTACTGCCAGCAGTTATCTAGCCGGGTAATGAAACGTTTCCAAGAAAAGAACCAAGCTCAGAGAACCCCAAGGACTCCACAGAAACTAAAAAACCGGCCTCGCCTCGCCTCTCTCCCTCCAAGCACCAGAGCGCCACCCGTACCCGAAATTCGATGTGAAAGGGGCAACCCGAATACGAACGTTTGCGAACTGTTTACTTATTTGGCTAAAGTGTGCTCGACTCTTCCTACTAGAGCTACGTTTACGTCCCATCTAGAATTTGCTCCCTATTGTTTCCCAATGATATCGGCCCACCCACTTTCACAAGATCGCATCAAAGCATTTTTTTAAAGACTACCCAAGCAAACCACGGGGCGATTTAGGATTAATCCTTGTTCTGATGCTAGAGGAATTTTTTAACTGGCCAGCACTCCTACAGCCAACTTCGCTGTGCGCCCCCTCCACTCGTCTCTAGTCAGAAAGAAATCTATACCAGGCCAGGCGGCTGCAAAGAAAACCAACTTTTCTCCTTCGTAAACCGACCAAACAAGATTTCTTCTCCAAAGAGTTTACTAGTGCAAGATAAATATTTCCTCGCTACTTCAGTTCTACTTTGGCTTCTCTTTTTCTCTGTCCCCTTAATCACATTAAGTGGAGCCGGAAGTGCAGTGCCCATAATATTTCTTGGGGAACAGATTCCTCCGGAGGGGTATTTCTTCTGAGCAAACGGCTGCAGGGCTGGTTCGAGCCGAGGCGCTAAAAGAAAGGCTGGCGAGAGAAAAATCACCCACGGTTCCCGCCTGGGTCGGATACTGGGACGGGCTTAACCTGAGCAGCCTGGGGATGAACTTCCACTGGGGTTGCAAGAAAGCGAACGTGCCGGCAAGCGGATGGGACGGAAGACTTACAGTTCGGAGCGGGTCTCCCTGGCCAGCCGGATCCGCTCCAGCTAAGCTGCAGACTGCCGGAGAATACAGTTAATAAGAAGCACCTTTCTGCCTCTAGCGCGCGTTTTTATAGCCACGTTGCTCGCCCGAGCCGGTCAAGAACAATGAATATTGTCCTGGACAGGCGGCTGGACCCATGAGCGGAGTGGCGCGGGGGGGGGGGGGGGGGGGG